CTGCTCCAGAGAAGGGCAAGGGCCGCAGCGGCTTCAGGAAGAAGACCCGCCCTGCGGAGGAGGGGGAGTGGTTTGGACCGTTCCGGGGCCTGGCCTCTTTGGGATTCAGGACCCCCTCCCCCCCACCACCACCACCTCCTGAAACCCAGGACCCCAGCCTCAAGATTAAAGAGCATCCCCTCGCCCCAGCTGGTTTGGCTCAATGGATAGAGCGTCGGCCTGTGGACTGATGGGTCCCCGGTTCAGTTCCAGTCAGGGTCGCATGCCCGGGTTGCAGGCTCGATCCCCAGTGGGAGGCGTGCAAGAGGCAGCCGATCAATGATTCTCTCATCATTGATGTTTCTATCTCTCTCTCCCTCTCCCTTTCTCTCTGAAATCAATAAAAACATTAAAAAAAAGAAAAGAAAAGAAAAAAGAGCATCCCCTCCCCTGCGGCCCGGGACCCCTGCCTGGGCCTGAGCAGCGTTTGCGCGACGTGGCGGTCCGGGGGGAAGGATGTCCTGGTCTGGCTCCCAGAGGGCAAGGACGGGGGAGAAGAAACTGGGGTGGGGTGAGGTGGGAAAGAGAGACTGAGGGGAGGCGGAGTCCCGGAAGGGGCCTGCCGCGGGAGGGGAGAGCGCGTCTTCCACGGGGTGGGGCCTACGCACCGGGGAGGTTGGACGTGAAGCAGAAGGCGTCGTAGCGTTCCTCCGCGTTGTGGCGGTAGCCGTAGTTGCGCACGCCCCCGGAGGCACCTCCGCCAACCCCGGTGCCCCCGGCCCCGCGCAGGCCGCCGCAGGGCTCCCGGGGCTGGCTCACCGGGTACTGAACCGAGCCATCGCGCAGCCAGCCCGCGTTGCACCAGTCCAAGCCGTCGCGCCAGGCCGCGTGCAGCTGCTCGGCCGACGCCAGGATACCATCCTGTTCAGAGCAGGCGCGCTGCGCCTCAGTGAAAGTCAGCTTGTAGCGGCCTCCACGGGGGTGGTAAGGGAAGACCACGCCTGGGAAAACACAGGGGAGTCAGCTAAGGCCCTCCCAACCATCCCCCACCCACCTGACACTGGGGGGCCCTGTGTCTCTTCAACCTAGATCTTCCAGTCCATCCCTCACTCTGGCCTCAGATCTGACCATGCTTTTTTCCAGCTCACACTCCTCCTGGCTCCCTTTGCCTTAAGCTTGATTCACTTGACCCTCCTCCTTAACATACTTAATCGTGTCTACCCCTTTCCCACCGCTGGAGACATTTGCTCATGTTCTTTCCACTTGCTGAACTCCTATTCATCCTTCAAAACCCAGCTCCCACAACCCTCCTCCATTCAGTCTTAGGTGCTTCTGACATTCTCCCAGCACTGGGACCTTCCCTCTGATCAAGCCCTGAGTCCACAAAGCTGGGAATGTCTATGTCCAGTGCTGGCTCCCCTACACTGGGAGCCCCTGAAAGGTTGACCCTGGGCAAAAATTCCCTTTGATCCACAGCACTGTCCAGGCAGTCAGTATCCCTTCGTTTTCCTTCCACCGTCAGTCGTTATAACTCCTCAGACTTGCAGTCAACTCAGCTCACAAGTGTTCTGTCTGTCTGTGTTTGAAGGGCAGACCTTGGGGGTTTATTGGGTACTTTCAGCAGGTGCAGGGAGGAGGCAAACAGTGACCAACCAGGGAGAAGACCGGAGCCTGGCAGACTGGGGTTTAAGTCCTGGCTCTGCTGCTCACTATCATGTGCCCTTGGCACAGGTCTAACCTCTCCGAGCTAGTTGAACCTTCCTCAGGGGTTTTGGGAAAATTAAATGAGAAACTCCAGAGAGCTCTTCAGCCAAGTGCCTGGCACACAGACAATGCCCCGTAAAGGAGAATTGCTGCTATTGTTATGTTATTTACTATTATTGGGAAGTTGGCAAGTGAAGGCCCCAAAATCTTTCCAAGGATCTTCTACTAGTAAATGACTGAAGAAGACAAATCAGGTGGAAGGGAATTTTTTCAGATAGAAACGCCACCTCCAAGCTTCACTGTCAGCCAATCAGAGCATCCCTATCTTCTGGCCACAGCTGGGCACATGACTCAGAAGCTGAGGCCAATGAGGGACAAGTCTGGGACTTCTAGGAAATCAGTTGCTAAGCTGGGAGGGTGGAAGCCTGGCACGAAAACTTGCAAGAGGAAAGCCCACCCAGGGAGTCAGAGCTGAGGGAGGGACTCCTGACATGGTACGGGTGCCTGGATCTTACTGTGCCTGAATCCTACAGCAGGGTTTCCCAACATTGGCATTTTGGTCTGGGTCATTCTTTGCCCTGGGGGACTGTCCTGTGCTTTGTGGTATATATCACAGTATCTCTGACCTTTACCCACCAGATGCCACCAGCAACCCCCTTTTAGATGTTACAGTGTCCCTGGGTAGCAATAACCACCGTGAATCAAACTACCCCACCAAGCCTCTAAATTCCTTCAGGCCAAGGATCTGGTTTCTCTTCCTTGCAATTCCCTCCCCTCTCCTCCCTGAGAAATGCCTCTCATCCTGCCCACAGGCTGGTCACCTTCCAGGTCCAGCTTGACCATGCCAGTGTCATCCTCTAGTTCATTGGTGACCTCGCACTCATAGTGCCCATAGTCTTGCAGCGTGACATTTCGGAGAACCAAGGAGGCGTCCCCAGGACCATCACCCTGCAGCTCGGCCCGCCCTCGGTAGCTGCCAAACGCGCGGTGCTGGGGGCCCAGCGCCACGAAGACATCGGTAAAGGCCAGCGGCTCCACCACTTTAGTCCACTTGAGACGGACACCTTCGTGGCTGTGGACGGTTGCCTCGTAGTGGTAACGGCAGGGCAAGACGATGGTGCCACCCCGGTGGCTCACTACCTGCCCGGGCGCTGTCTGCACCACCACCGAGCCCGACTCGCCCTCTGTGGGTGACCAAGGAGGGTTCAGATGAAGTCCTAGGGGTGGGGTAGGGAACCTGGGGAGGGGATCCTGGAGGGGGATGTGGTTATTAAACTTGGGTGTGGGTAACTCAGATGGGTAGAGAGGCTCAGGGAGGGAACTGGGAGGGGGAGGAGCTTGGTGGAGGAGAACGGTGGCCTTTGGGACCGCCCAGTGCCCTCCCCTTTCCCTCCTCCATGCACCCTAGAGATCACACCTGGCCACTGCTCTCTGACTTACCTAGCACGTGCACGACCTTCTTCCTGCCGCGCTGCGCCCCTGCGGGGGCCACGAGCAACAAGACTACCCAGAGCGCGCAGGGACCGAGGGCCGCCCGAGCCCACACCTGGGGGCATCGGACACTCAGTCCAACCTCCTGGCTTTTGCCTTTAGGAGGACTAGCCCCTCGCTTCTCACGGGCCCAGGCCTCCTCCTCATATAGGGTCCCAGAGGAGTCCCCCAGGAAGGCTGGCAAAGCCCTCCCTCCCCATTCCCTCTCCTGGGACGTCACACCCTCCCTCTTGCACAAAGCCCACCCGCCTGAACGCACCCTCTCTTCGTCCCGCCCGATCCCCTAACCTCAACTCCGGGGGCCCGAGCCCCGCCCCCTTCGCTCCGACCTGGGCAGAGGAGGCGAGAGGAGGGAGGAGCCGAGCAGCGGCAGCGGCAAGGTTATTCGTGCGCCAGGAGACTGCAGCAAACCCGGCCGGGCGGTGGGGGTTAGGGATGCGGGGGAGTCGTGGAGAAAAG